TTAACCTCGCTATGCGAGGCACCACTGTACCCAGAAATAACTGCCACTGGGTAAGTTCTGGTTCTTTAAAACATTTATTTATTCAGTGTAATGTTAGATAAAACATTTAATACAAAGAGAGAGAGAAATAAGAATAGAAATAAGAAACTCTATAAACAGTTTTAGGCTTTCTTTGTATCCCCACTTTCTTTGTCATATTGTTCTACAGAATGTCCTTCCAAAACATTTACTGTTCTTTTGTAATCTGTGCACGTGTTCTGACGAAGTCATAAAATCTGTTAAAGGGTATTGTGTCCCAGGAAGGCACCTCTAGGCAAAGATCCTGTTGTTGTTTTCCTTTTCTGGATTAATTTCTCCAAAGTTGCTATTTCCCGTGATTTCCCCCCCCCCCCATTTGAAATCTTCAGTATTTTCCAATCTTCTGCTAAGTCCATTTTGGCTACTATTAGCGTGAATGAGTGGTTACGCAACAGATTTTCATTTTTACCGATGAATGAAGAAGAGATCTTTTCACAATGGGGCATTGTAAAGGTTTCACCTAGTGATTGAAGGTTGTAATCCTCAGAATACAGTGGTGCCTCAACTTACGAATGTCCCGACACACGAGCATTTCGAGTTACGACCAGCTCCAGCTGCAAAATTTTGCTTAGACTTGCAGCCAGAGCTTCCAGTTATGAACAGAAAAAGGCTGGGAATTCAAATTGCTAACCGTTGGTAGGTGAAGAGGTTGCATTTTTTGTAGCTCTTTCGCCCCAGCAGTTAGAGTGAGTGTGATCGGAGAAGGCTTTGGTCTGCCTGGTAAGGTAAGGTGCTGCTTTCTGCTTTTTAAAAACTTCTGGGTGGGTTTTGCAGCGTAGTTTTGGGCTGGGTGGTAGAATTATGTTTCTATGCTGTGATGGGTCTTGCAGGGTTTGTTTGCTTTTTGGGAGTGTTTTCCTGTTTCTGATGGGTCTTGCACGGTTTGTTTGCTTTCTGCTTTGCTTTTTTTGCATTTCCGATGGGTCTTGCACAGTTTGCTTTCTGCTTGCTTTTTTGCATTTCTGATGGGTCTTGCACGGTTTGTTTGCTTTCTGCATTTTGTTTGTTTTTTGTTGTTGTTTTTGCATTTCCGATGCATCTTGCATGGTTTGTTTGCTTTTCTCCCCCCCCTCTGCCAGAACGGATTAATCATGTTTCCGATGAGTCTTGCAAAGTTTTTGTTTGATTTTTGTTTGTCGGTGGGGGCTTTTTGTTTTTGTTTTTGTGATCTTTTTCCTTGGCTGGAACGGATTAATTGCATTTCAGTGCATTCCTATGGGAAATGGTTCTTCGAGTTAGGACCATTTTCAAGTTACGACCAGAGTTCTGGAACCAATTAAGTTCGTAAGTCAAGGCACCACTTTACATGGGGAGGTTAAATTATTGACTGTTTATAAAATCATTTTGAATTATAGTTAACTCATTTTAAAAACAAGCAACAGCTATGTTCACATTTCTTGTGGTCCTTAATGAGCATGCCAGCTTTCAGATTTCTGTATACCATAGGATCAGATCTAAGCATTTGAAATACTGTACACAGTTCAAAATCCTGTTAGTTATGCCTACTGATGTAATACAATTAGTGAAAATATCAGTGGCAAATTGCAGCGACCTAAGAAGTTAAGTACAGGGCAGCAATGGTGGACTTACAGCACACGTACCACCGCTGGAACGCAGAGACCTCTCCATGTGCATGAGAACCATAAGTCGCTGGATCCCTACCCCTCCACCCACCACAACCGAATCTCAAGATCGTAAGCCACCTGTCCCTGCTACCTTCCATGGTTGCGGTACAGTACTTGCAAATCAGGCACTTGTAAATCTGTTCTTTTGAAGATTGTAGATAAAGTTGCTTTATAGTTCACTGCTGTAAAAGAGTTGGCAGCAGTTAATCCGGCTTGTGAATTGCTACTTCTGCCAGATGTGACTGCAGGCAGGAGGAAGGTGCAAGAGAGGGACTGGATAGATAGATAGATAGATAGATAGATAGATAGATAGACAGACAGACAGACAGACAGACAGACAGACAGACAGACAGACAGACAGACAGACAGACAGACAGACAGACAGACAGAGACTGACTTTCATAAAACTGGGAAAAATGAAGTGACTTCAAGCAGGAGGGAAGGTTCCAATTAAGGCAGGAAAGAAGGTGCAAGAGATGGACGGGTGATTTCATCAAGCTTTTTAAAATGTAATAAGAAGAAAGGGGGTCATAGCAAGCTGAAACAACTGATTGTAGAAAATTGAGGAAGGGATGGTGGGTGTGCGCACGTGCGTGCATGAGACTGACTTTCATAAAACCACAAAAAAGGAACCTTCCAAAGTGTTTGTGAGAGTGAATGAGTGAATGAGACTGACTAATAAAACCATGAAAAAAGGAACCTTCCAAAGTTTGCTTTGATTGCAACACTAAACAAAAGGTCTTACAAACAAAAGACTGGTTTTCTTTAAGGAGTTAATCCATCTGATGTGCAGTCTTCCTCTTTTCCTACTGCATTTCACTTTTTTTCTGCATTGCTGCCTTTTTCAGCGAGCTTGTCTTCTCATGATGCTCTGTAATACAGTACCCTTTTTATTTTAACTTCTAGTGAGTCCACACTTACCGTATTTTTTGCTCCATAAGACGCACCTGACCTTAAGACGCACATAATTTTTAGAGGAGGAAAACAGGGAAAATATATTCTGAACCAAATAGTGTATTAAAATATTTAATAAACTATAACAGAATAACATTTGAACCATGTAAAGTGAACAGCAGTCAACAGTGGCATTAAGAACCATTACCACTGTAATTAACAAATGGAGAGACTTAAAGCTTTGTGTATTCTAGTTTATGTACCATAAATTTGTGTACCATAAATTTAATTCAAGTACATATAGACCATTATCAGCCAGTGATAAGACCTATACCATGCTACCTTTATTTTACATTTCCTTTCATCCACCTCCTCCCCATGCTTATAGAAATGTCTCAGTGACAGATGAGATTGTTGTGCAACTCTGCCCATCTGCAGCTCAAGCCTATATTAAGAGCTGTAGCAGCTGCAAAGGAGAATTTTAGGAACGGATTTTTACAGTTCCGTAAGATGGAGACAATCCTATTTTCTTAATTCTCCAGATAAAGCAAAATTTGAAGAACTTGATCTTTCCTGTTTACACTGGTTAGATTTTGGAAGTCTGGAAATGGAGCTATTGGAATTTCAATAAAACTATCTGGAAAAATAAGTTCTATGATCTGCATGCAACACTGGAGAAGACAGAGTGCAAAGGGATGATAAAGGACAGCGCAGTTGGTAGTTCTGAAAATGAAATCCTTAAAGTGTGGAATTCTCTGCCAAATAATTTAATGAAAGCACTTAGGATTGTTCTTCCTACTTTGTTTGGGACATTTTATGCTTTTGAGCAGCTGTTTTCAGCTTTGAATTATATCAAATCTGATACCAGAAACAGACGGACAGATGCTGTGAGTGCTGCATGTGTTGCTCTCAGACTAACGGTGTATGAGCCAAGGTTCAACAAATTATCAGCATGCATACAACATCAAAAATCACATGAATTGTGCAAAAGCATGCAAAATTTAAACTTTTGCCTAATGCAGTGTTTGCAATCCAAGACACTAGTTTAGGAGTTGTTTAAAGTGTGCTAAGTAAGTTTAGTTTTCTTGTTTATCTTGCTCATACTAATACAGGTTGACATTTACTTTTACTAATCCAACACCTGTAGAAGCAGGGAAAGGAACTGGAGTAAGGCATACAATTTCAGTCTGGCAAGTAATCATATTACAAGTTGAGTATCTCTTATCAAAAAATACATGCACAGAATTATTTTAAAAGTTTGTATAAATTACCTAGCTTCAGGCCATGTGTACAATGTATTACTTTAATATATTTTTCCATTTAGTAGAGTTGATAGGCTTTTTTCAATAAAAAACTTTGTATCATCGAAAGCTCTGTTATGTATTTATTTTAAGAGAAAATGTGTTTATTATTTCAGACAACTGTATGAGTTGTTTTTTCTAAACTAAAATCTCAGTATTCACATTTAATTGCAATGTTGGCACTTTGAAAGACATAATTTGGGTTTGTGTTGTAGTTTGGGCACTCAGGCTCAAAAAGGTTTGCCATCACTGGTATAGGCATTTGCTGTTGCATGCCAGTTCTATTACTTGGTGTGCAAAAGCTAGGAAAATTCACCACTGAGATTGGTACCAGTTGTGTTATGCCAGCATAAAACCTCAATAGAATTTTGGCAAAATCCTCTTTTATTACTATGAATTGTTAAGGAAAATACCTAGAGTGGTTTGGAATTTCCTAGGAGCTACCATGGACCATACCTCCTGTGGCAGATCTCTAAACACAGCATGACACTTTGGCCGTCAATACAGTGGTACCTCGATTTACAAACTTAATCTGTAGTGGAACGTTGTTCATACGTTGAAAAGTTCATAAGTCGAGGCAAACTTTTCCATAGGAATGCATTGAAAACCATTTAATCCTTACCAGCTGTTTTTCGTTCTTAAGTCCAGGGGCTGTTCTTAAGTCGAAGCATTAGTTCCCATAGGAACTAATGCAAAGCTGGTTAATCCATATCTACCACTAGGGGACGAATTTTTTAATTTTTTTTTCTTCTTTTGGCCTAAGATGAGCTTAAGTCAAAAAAAAGGGCAGGAAAGGTTTTTTTTTTCTTTGTTTCATAAGTCAAGGCACTGTTCGCAAGTCAAAGCAACTTTTTGCAAACAGAGCCGTTCGTAACTTGAATCGTTTGCAAATGGAGATGTTTGTAAGTCGAGGTACCACTGTATTCTACTACAAGTCCTACTAGTGCAGACCCATTTAAGTAATTGCTGGATTGTCAATAAACACTTGCGTAAATTCCACTGAGCCAGTGGATCTGCTGTAATTGAGATTAACAGCAGGATGCTGTACTTTGTGTTTTCCTTTTTGCACCAAGAAATCTAAATGTACCCCTCTTCTTGGCAGGGAATTACAGCTTTGTTCTCTCATAAATGAGAAGCTGAAGGGAGAAAAGATGGAGCCAAAACCTGCAAAAGCAAGTCATGCAAGAAGAAATCTTTTTGGTCCTGTGGACCATGATAATCTGCAGCAGGACGTCCAGAACATGTTGTGGGCTAGCATGGAGAGGGCGATGCAAAGATGGAACTTTGACTTCTTGCAAGATAAGCCAACAGAAGGCCTTCTACAATGGGAAGAATTGCCAGTCCATGAGGTTCCCACTTTTTATCATAATCTTGTGATTGGGCAGGGTCGTTATCCTCTGCAGTCCATGAACTGGGATGTAACAAAGGAGACCAAAATGTCCCATGTTGGCAAAATGATGAAGAAAACAAAGCCTGCCAAAAGGATAGCAAGGAAGAAGGGTGTGGCAGGGAAGAAGCGAAGGCAGACATCTTTAACTGGTATGTAGAATGTATTTATGTTTGTTTGTTTATTCTATTTCTAGCCCACTTTTCCAGCACTAGCTGGCTGGATAGCTCAGTGAGTTAGACATCTGACTGTGGAGCCAGAGGTTGGATTTCCTACTGTACCTCCTGGGAGAAAAGCCAGCCTGGGTGGCCTTGGGCAACCTGCACAGTTCCAGGACGCTCCTCAGAAGAAGAGAATGATAAACCACTTCTGAGTCCTGTCTACTTAGAAAACTCTGAAAATCCTGAAAAAGGGTTGCCATGAGTCGGAATTGAATTGACAGCACTTGATGATGATAATTTCCATTACTGGGTAGTGCTCACAATAGCATATCATCTATCATAAAACATAAAAATAATCAAAAACAAATAAAGTGATAGAACTGTTAAATTTAAAGAAAACCAAGCAAGACCTTAACCACCAGTTGAAATCACTACAGTCAACGAAATAATACCATAAGCAGTTTGGAGAAATTTATCATGGTAAGTGAAGGAGGGGGCCATCTGTGTCCCAGAGGCTTATGCAAAGAGGAACTCCTTGTGGATGAATGTTGTGGTATAGATCAGATGTCCCGGGCCGCGGAGACATAACCTCCCACCCCCGCACAGCTCCTTTGTGCATGCGCACACAAGCGCTCCCCCACCCCTTCGCACATGTGCACAAGTGCCCCCCAAGCCCTGTGCCACCCTTTGCACATGTGCAGAAGTGCACACACTCCTTCATGCATGCTCACAAGCGTGGGGGGATGCCCCACCTTTCCCAACCGGTCCTTGGGGTTAAAAAGGTTAGGGACCTCTGGTGTAGATGACTGAGTGTAGTTAAGAAGCTTTAGGCCTCAGTTATTTTGAGTGCTGATGTGGTATAGTGCAGCGGTCCCCTACCTTTTTGGAACCGCGGACCGGTTGGGGGGGGCTCTGTGCCCGGGGGCACGGGGCACCCTTGCGCTCACAGGTGCGCATGTCACGCTTGCAGGGACATGTTGTGCTTGTGGGCGGTGCACAAGCGCGATGCACCCGCCCGCGAGCGTGACACGCCCACCGTGTGTGCATGCGGGAAGGCAGAGATCCGTCTCCACGGCCCAGTCCTAGGAGGCCAACAGACCAGCATTGGGTCACGGACCGGGGGTTGGGGATCCCTGGTATAGTGGATAGACTGTCAGACTGTGTCTCTTGAGACCTAGGTTGAAATCCCCACTTGACTGTAGGAATTCAGTGAGTTTGTCAATAGTAAAGCTACTTATTAAATATCTCACATAGAAACCCTACTAGTGCCACTATAAGTTGTAATTGGCTTGATGGCACATAGCATGTTCTGTACTCAAATCCATCATCTATTCTTAGTAGAAGGTAGAGAACAGTGATAAATCTCTATGCCACCTATGAGTAAAGCTCCTAAAATGTATTTCAACCTATATCCTTTCAGTTGCTCATATTCTTGTGAACTCACAAAATAAGCACTGATATATGTGAGCTCTCTCTTTTTTAGCCATACCTTTTCTCTTTCCAGAGGCCTTTCTATGAATGTTCACAGTAACTGTAGGTTTTCTTTTCCATTGAATGTGCTTCTTATGCTGCACAGCAGTACGTGGTTCACCAGTGTACACCTTATCCCCCATCACAAATCGCTGCTGGAATAACTTAATTAAATGGGCTTTGCAGATCCCACAGAATTCTAGGGGCCTTGCCAATAAGATGTTTCTTTGGAGTAATTACAAGGCATCAGCTGCTGGCAGGAATGTGGTCTTTATTCATTGCCAGTTGGGGATGCTGCAGGTTAAATGATCATGAGAACTATTTCTTCACCTCATTCCCTTTAGCACTGCTTTTCTACTTTGACAATTTGCCACTCATTCCTGATTGGGTAGAGGATGTTATTTTTACTGATGTGATTCATAATTATTCTGTGCAGAAAATGTCTGTGGGAAGGATAACAGTATTTATTAAAATAAGTTTTCTTTGCTGATACAAGCCCTTCTAGCATTGATACAGCAGCTTTCAATCCCAGCCCTATTGCCTAAACAGTGGCATTTTATTCTCATAGTATCCTGGATTGAAGCCCTATACCTGTGAGGCACTCTCTATTTCAGGCCTAATTCACCTGAGGATAGAATTGTACATACTGCTCTTCCCTTCCTGAGATAGACCTTTCTCATGTTATTATGTTTTGTTGTCATTCCTTTTATAGCACCTTCAATATGTGTAGCATGTTGTACTTGTATACAGTATGCAAAAAAGACAGCTCCTTTAAGCCATGAAGCTTCCTATGTGAATTTCAGCAGGACGAGAGACATGAAATAAAGGAATGAGTTTCACATCCCTGCCATTCCCATTTGCCATATTTATTTTTTTATTTATTTATTGAAAGACTTACTAAAATATCAGAAAGACTTACTAAAATAATGAATATGAAGTGCTTAAAACATGGATTAAGCTTGCAAATACCCTGTTTCCCTGAAAATAAGACCTAACCTGAAAATAAGCCCTAGTATGATTTTTTAGGATGGTCGTAATATAAGCCCCACCCCAAAAATAAGCTCAGTTAAGTGAAACCCCATCCTCCACCATTGTGCAGCAACCAGAAGAAGATGACATGACTGTATTTGAATAAATATATATTGTTGTGCATGGAAAAAAATCCCCTGAAGATAAGCCCTAACGCGTTATTTGGAGCAAAAATTAATATAGGTAAGGTAAAGGTTCCCCTTGACAGTTTGTCCAGTCGTGTCCAACTCTAGGGGGCAGTGCTCATCTCCATTTCCAACCCATAGACCTAGCATTTGTCTGAAGACAATCTTCTGTGGTCACGTGGCCAGTACAACTAAACACGGAACGCCGTTATCTTCCCACCATGGTGGTACCTATCTATCTACTCGCATTTTTGCATGCTTTCAAACCATTAGGTTGGCAGGAACTGGGACAAGCGACGAGGGCTCACTCCGTCACGTGAATTCGATCTTATGACTGCAGGTCTTCTGACCTTGCAGCACAGAGGCTTCTGCGGTTTAACCCGCAGCGCTACCACGTCCCTGTCTTATTTTCAAGGAAACACAGTACCGTATTAGAGAAATGTGTCACTTTTATAGTTTGTTGCCACACAAGGTTTCTCATTTTACATCTTGGCATAAATGTTTTCATAAGCATTTTATTGCTACAATAATTGTGTAGAAGCCAGTACATCAATTGAATATAAATTTAGCAAAGGATTTCAGTGTTATCTCCATAGATTACAGTTACAAAAAAGCAAATTACTTTGCATATTTATTAGGCTTTTAGTTATTGGGATCTATACAAGACACACACGTCTGTACCACAGAATATACATATTTTCTAAGTGGGATTTTCCCCCTCTTTCTTTGCTTCCATTTTCGTTCTTTTTTTAAAGTGCAGCAATATATACAGTTCTGGTGTTATTAGCAGTCTTCAGATGATTGACATTTGTTACACAGAGTTGACTGTTAACAAGATATTGGTGTAGGTCTGTCTTCCATATTAGGAAATTCTTTCATATTTTTCTATTGAGAGCCACCCTATACCAGAGCCCTGTTCAGTTGTCATTTCATAGCAGAAATGGGGGGTAGGGTTACTTTGTTGGTCTTATGGCAAAAACAAAGGTTAACAAATTTTATCTTGCCTAAGCTTTCATGGACTGAGCCACAGATGCATCTGATGAAATGGGCTGGGTCCTTGAGAGCTCAAGCTAAATAGCAGTTACTCGCCTTGAGTATACCACAGAATTCTTTGTTGTTTTTCTTCTGTGTGATTAATATCACACTGTGATGGTGGACTATGTTGCCTTCACCACTGCTATTCTATTCCCTGCCTCCCCCTTTCCCCATGCTGCCCACATGTTGAGGGACAAATCCCCAGGTGGGAGACAAGCAGAGCAATTGAGCAGGAATGGTGACCTCACATAGCTGCAGCTCACAAGAACAGACAAAATCTGTTGCACAGACTTTCTAACCTTCCCTTGTGTGAGAATATTGTGAGTCCATGTTGTTGAAGCTACCAACATGAATTTGACCAAACTCCGGGAGGCAGTGGAAGACAGGAGGGCCTGGCATGCTCTGGTCCATGGGGTCACGAAGAGTCGGACACGACTTAATGACAAAACAACAAAATTGTGAGTGCAAGCACAGCAGAAAGGTGAGATGCTTTCTCTCTGCAGCAGAGAGTCCCCTCACCTTATTTTAGCTAGTTTCAGTTGTTTATTTTATTTATTTATTACTTACGGTTTTCCTTTTTATGCTGTTCTTCTCCCTGAGGACATCCAGAATGGTGCATACCACAGTACTATTATATATATAACAAACATACTGATCAGATAATAAAATGCTTCACGTAGAAGATAAAAATGTGAGCAAAATTTAGTAATAGCTTAAAGCCCACTGGAGAATTTGATCTTATATAATTTTATATACATTACCACATAATAGTCAGATTCCTCTTGCTTTGCATAGTAAGTTACACTATAGGCTCATTAAATCAATGGTGATTTAGTGAATCAACTCCTTTGTAAGTTTTTAAAAATCAGTGATTTAAAGTACAGTGGTGCCCTGCAAGACAATTGCCTCGCCGGACGAAAAATTCGTAAGACGAATGGGTCCGGCGAGGGTTTTGGTGCCTCACAAGATGATTTTTCCTATGGCCCTGTGTAACATTCAGCCCTGTTCTCTCCTGTCCATCACAGCTGGGCAGTGGAACATCAGCCAATGAGGGGATGGAGAGTGGTGCAGAAGGGGGAGGAGCTGGGATATATAAAGTGGTGTGTGAGGTGTGATAGGGAGAGAGATTGTTATATTGAGAGATTTAGAGTTAGCGATTAGCATGTTTGAAGGCCTGTGAGCCAAAGTAGTCAGTGAGGAAAAGTCTGTGTGTGGTACAGTGAATGAGAAACAGTGATTTACAACTTGACTACCTGTGATTTACTTATTTTAATTTTGTTGTTCCAATAAACAAGTTTTGTTTTGGAAGAAATACTTGTCCTTTTTGAATATTGAATATAATCGGTGGCAGCAGTTTGAGGAAGAGTAGTGAGCACTCCTTGAGGCCTGAGTTGGTAGAGGCTTCAGAGTGGCCCGCTACACCCTGTTTTGCAAGACACAGCCCCGGGAGGTTTCTGAAAGCGGTGCTTTGCTAGCGGGGGGCGATGTGTGTGTGCTGTTCTCTGTTCCCTGCCCGCCTCACAGCTGATTGGCACAGGGTGTCAGAGGCTTCTCTGGGCTTTCCCAGCAGGTAAACAAGCAGTGGAAATGCACCCGGGGAAGCCTCTGAAGTGGCGCTTTGCCATGGGGGTGGGGTGGGTGGGTGGCAGGCACAGGGCCACAATGCCCCGCACCAACCCCCCATGGCAAAGCACTGCTTTCAGAAGCCTTCTGGGCTTTGGTCAGCAGTGGAAAAGCACCTAGGAGGTTTCTGAAAGCGGCACTTTGCCACGGGGGGTGGCGGGCCTGCCACCCACCCACCCCACCCCCATGGCAAAGCACTGCTTTCAGAAGCCTTCTGGGCTTTGGTCAGCAGTGGAAAAGCACCTAGGAGGTTTCTGAAAGCGGCACTTTGCCACGGGGGGTGGCGGGCCTGCCACCCACCCTGCGGCAAAGCGCCGCTTCAGAGGCTTCCCCTGTGCATTTCCACTGCCTGTTTACCTGCTGGCCAAGCCCAGGGAAGCTTCTAAGACCCAGCGCCAATCAGCTGTGAGGCGGGGAGGGGGAAGGACTAGAGCGGAGAAGAGCACAAAAAGGCTGCTGGCTCCCTGCTAGGTGCCAGCTCTGAGCTGTTTGGTGCTCTTTTTCCTGCTTTTCTGGGGCTACCAAGGCACTGTGAGGAGCCGGGCTCAGTCTACAGTATCTGGTGAGTTTTTGTTTTTGTTTTTGTTTTTTTGTTTGGACTTTTCCCCCCATAGGAACGCATTAATTAAATTTCAGTTCATTCCTATGGGAAACCATGCCTCGCAAGATGAAATTTTTGTTAGACGGCATTAACCATGGAACGGATTATTTTTGTCTTGCGAGGCACCACTGTACAATGTAAATTTTAAAAATTCTATTTAAATCATTTAAAAATCTATTTTTAAATTTATATTGTGATTTAAATCAGATCCACCCTGCCTTTTTTAAACCACTAAAAAAATTAATTGTTAAAGTAAGTTACAATTAGAGTAGTCCTGCTTGAATCATTGACACTTATGTAACAGTTGACTCACCAAATCCCTATTGATTCTATGGGTATACTAATTTACTACACTAAGCAACAGGATTTTTGCCAATGAATGTTTAATGCATTTGTAGAATAACAGTTTACAACTATTCAGATGTCCACTGAAGCAGTTGTTCTTTACACCTGCATGGGTATCATACTTTTGAGGGGCTGGCTGATGTAGCTAGGGCTGGACAAATGGTTCTCATACCCTCAGAATGTGTGCAGTGCTGTTCTACACCATATTTATTACATGCAGAAATTAAACACAGCCTGCAAGGGAAACTTCATTTTATTGAATGCTTCCAAGTAAAAAAATCTCTGCACATAATGAATGAACACATCAGGGAAAGGACAGCACTGGGCAAAATCCCATTGCATAACTACATGGGTAGACCTTGACAGTGCATCCAGGGTAGTTGCAGTAGTGCTGAAGCAGAAGTGCTGTCCATGAAGCCCTTCTACTGACATTTTGAACTATTGGTTGCACTGGGGATGCATGACCAACTCCACAATTGAATAATGGAATTGCTTGTTGTCGGTCATAATGCCCAGCACATTAACACGGGAATTATATCTGTATAAATAGGATTTTGCCCACTAGATCAATCTGTATGATATGGAAGCTTTGTCCATGGAGGATCACCCCTTTTATTTTTTTGTATATGCAGGAGAGATTTTTAAAATGTATCTGAAATAGTCTGGTTGGGGATTCTTATTGCCTTTTTCTGCACAGTATAGGGTTGGTCTCAGCAGCAACAATACAGACTGTTCAATGTGCAGTACCTAATTGTTCATTTGGTTTTGCACAGATTACTATACAGCGAAGAAAGATAACAGAGTGGCTATGCGAACTCCTGTGAAGAAACTGGCTATTTAGAATGGATCATCATACGTTGGATCTACCTCCAGATGTTTTTCAAAGAGAGTATCCAAACTAATACAACATTTTGAAATTGTGTTGTTCAGAGAGTAACTTGTGGAGCCTCACTCAGAGCATCATATCTGAAAATAAAAAATGGGAATCTTTCAGAACATTTTTAAAAAATTCTTTCATGAGGTCAGACAAACTTTTTTTAAAGGTTGTAATCAGGAAAGAGGATAATTGTATCAATGTAACACCTCAGTGGATACTGCTTATCAATATAAAGAGTTAATGTTCAAAATACTATGTATGAACAAATTGTGAGTACCATTATATGGTCTTGCATGTTGTATGTTTTTTTAAAAAAACTTATTTAGTATATTGGCTTTCTTATTGTGAAAATCAATGATGTTCTCTACCAATTAAGTGAACTTATTTTTGGCTGTTAAAAGTTTAGACACCATATCAAAATTTGATTGGTGTAACAGTGAGCCTATAATTTTGCACTTAGAAGTTTATTATGCATATAGTTCCTTAATCTTGCGTCAAGACACAGCACCAGTGTTTCAACTTGACTATTTTTCTAACTGGCTTTTCAGAATAGTGTGCCATAGAAGAGTAAACTATCCCCACTTGTTCCATACTGAAGCATTACACCAAGGTTTAATTACAGTGGTGCCTCGCTTAATGAGTGCCCCGTTGAGCGATTAAATCGCTTAACGAGGGGCTCTGGGCCGTCGCTGGAGCATTTGCTCAGCGATGGCCCCTATGGCATTTTTTCGCTTTGCAATATTCGCTAAGCGATTCGCTTAGCGAATATCGCATAACGAAGCGGGGAGAACAGCTGATTGGCGGTTCCAAAATGGCCGCCAGAAGGTCCGTGCCGCATTTTCGCGCCCTGCCCTCGCTTACCGAGGGCGCGAAAATGGCGGCGCTATGGAGGAAGATCGCTTAACGGTGAGTTTTAAAGCCATAGGAACGCATTGAACTTCGTTTCTATGGCTTTTTTATTTCCGTTTAGCGATGTTTCGCTATAGCGAAGGTTAATCCGGAACGGATTAACCTCGCTATGCGAGGCACCACTGTACAGCCTCTTAGTATGAGATCTCAGCATAACACCTCCTGAACAGTGTGATCAGCAGAAGGATGATGGTGCAGCTCTTGTTGAATTTGCACATCTTCATATTGTAGGTGAATTATAAATCGGAATGCTTCTCCATATAAATAATTCTCAGTTCATCGAAAATTAGCTCTTCAAGGAGAAGAATGTTAATTTAGCGTTTTGCCTTGCTAATTTTCTACAAGCAGGGGATTTCCTTCTGTGGGAAAGCATTAAAACATGATCTCACACCTGTAGGTTTAAGTGGCAGCACATGATTGTCCTGAACATGTAGTTCTCCTTTTTGCTAGTTAGATTAATAGAGTCCCAGTCCTATTGTTTTCACTTCTGCTGTTGGTTCATTTGGGAATGATCTGTTGATGTTTCCAATTATGCCATGCTTGGGCCTGTATGGCCCATGAATGTTGCTTCTGGAGGTGAAGAACAAAATTACACCGTCCCATAGTTATATATATTATGCTGTATAATGGAAATCTTTCTGTTTGTTGACTCTTGGAAACTAAAAAGGTGTTGCTGATAGCCTGTGATTAGTTAATAATTTTCTTCTTCTAATGAAAGCATCTACTGCACCAAGTTTCTTTCTCCTTTTGAGATTATGCATATTAGCTTCCTTCGTTTGATGACTGGTCTTCAGGATGATATTCTGTGAAGTTTGATTTCACAACTGAAAATACTGTATCAGTTCTGTCTGGCATTAACTGCTTTTAGTTCTGATTACAGGCTTTCTGCAACATCTGTCTTTGCTCAGTTTTTTAGAAAATACATGCAAGCAAGGTCTATTTGCATCACATTTAATGTGGAGGAAACAATGATAAAGCAGGGGAGCAAGGAACTTCATTCCTTGTGGGGTTCATAAGAGCAAGGTGAATAATACCAGAGAAGGGCTGTTTAAGGTCAGGAAGTTCAATGAGAGTTCAATGGCAGAAAGCAATGAGAGAAACTCTTAACATTCTTAAAGGACTTCATTCTATAGAATCAGTGAAAAATATCACCTCACCAAAGACTTCCCATAACCAGAGTTTGCAGTCACAAAAGAGAAAAGTATTGAGGCCTGTTTACAAGCGGTGAATGGAACATAGGAAGATTATTGAACATTTGACGGTCAGTAAGTGTCACTTGCAGGTTTTAGGGTTTTTTTGTTTTTTGGTGGTTTTTTTATTTTTTGTATTTTTTTGCCTAGAAAGGTTTCAACAGATTGTACAGCACACCTGCAGTAATTTTTGGGACCACGTGGAAAAGTGCCTGGACCACCTCTCAGATCTTCCCAACCAAATATTTGCTCCCAAACTAAATGAAAATGGTACACGTTCTTTTAAAAAACCAACAGCATAATGTAGTGATATATGCTGTTCAGGGCCTAGTAAAGCTATCATTGGCTTTGAAAATAATGGCAGTGAAGAAATTGCACTAGGAATAACTCCTGAAATGAGAACACTATCATATCTTAGCACACTGAATGTCTAGACTGCTGATTCATCTGAGTGTTGTTTATTTTATAGTTTGACAAATGTAAATACTGTACCGCTGTTCGCAGCTCTGTTTTCCTATTGACATGGGTTGGTGTCCTGCATCCAGACTGAAGACAATATGTGGTATTCAGGATTATCTCATCTGCAGAAGACAAAATTATGACTATCTCTGCCTTGTCCATTGTCTGTTTGCCATCATAAAGAATCAAATCTCAGGCATAGACATCATTCCATTGAATTCCTTGACTGCAACTAGGCAAGCCATGCTTCTAAGAGGAATCTGTCTTGGAAATATTCCAAATACAAGTTCATTATATTAAAAATGCATAGAATTTTATGAATTGCTTATGCAAAGTCTTTATAATCAATCATGTTTGTTGATATACTGCTTGGCATTTTTATATACATTGGCTATAGCTGACACAGCATCTATTCAAAACTATATACTATTAGTCTCTCTCCCACACCCCTTATTAATGGCTATGGAATTATTCTAACAGTTGCAAACTACTGTTTCATTTTTAGTGAATCCACCAGCAGAGGTTAGCAATATTCATCTTAATATTTAGACAAATCTTTATTATGCAAACAGTGATGTGTTGTTTTGTCCCCATAGAAACTAATTCTGCCTTGCTTTGGACTGTTCTAATGTTATAGAATTTAGATGATATGCTCATAATGTTAGTTTATTGTATAATTTGGTTATGAACTGTGGATGTTTGCTATGTTTTTAATAAAACTGAGTTTTTACTTAAAGTTTAACAGCACTGGGTTGAAACTGATTTGTTGTCTGTTAAGAGGTAAGTCTTTGTACCTATATTTTAGATGTGGGTTTCGCTTCAAATGTACTACGAAAGACTGGCCTTCCATTTGAAGCATCTTCTCCCATCAAAATGCCATCTAGTGGGAACATACAAACACACATGGCTCTCCTTGCAAAATTACCAGCTGTAGTAAACAAAAAAACTGCAGCAACCTGCAACAAAGCTGCAGCAACCTGCAGTAGCTGGCTGTAAGCTGACCACTATTTTAATTTAATTTCCCATAAGTCACTGACCTTGCATGCATAACTGGGTAATATGCCCCACTGTGAGCCCTGCCATTCACAGCAGCTTCAGAGGGAGCTCCATTTCGAATTCCATAGAAAATTCCTCCAAAGCCTCAACAACAACATCAGGGTTTATTGAAACGGGAATAGGTGAAACATATAGCACAAGGAGCTCCTTTCGGAATCGTTCCCTTCATTTCCTCTAAGTGTATTTTAGAATCCAAAAGTCCCCTGGTTAGGGCCACCACCCCATTTTTGTTTCCCTTCATTTTTAGCAGATTAAGTCCTGATGTTCACCTCACCATCTGGGAGGGTTCATATGCCCATAATGAAGGCAGTGATGACAATCCCAGTTCTGACTGGCGTATTATTGCCCCCTGGCCAGGTGTTATCTTTTGGCTCTGTTTTTTAACTCCGGCTCCCGGCAATATTGTAGCCAGTTCATTGGTCTGGGCTTGCTGTTGGTAATATCTCTGGATTTAAGTGCCTCTGCCTCTTAGGGGTACTCAGTTGTACAATAACCCTAATCTAGGGGTCTTCTTTGTAAACATGCTCTTAGTCACCTGGCAGCTCTAGTTCTTCTGGGGGGTTCTCTCTACATGGTAGCTTTCCTGGGTTTCCTCTAAGGCATCTCTCCTTTATGTCCCCTAGCTGCCAGACGGGCAGTTGACCCTCATCCTATATGGGGCATACCCCTTCACCCAAGTCTTGTGTCACCTCCCCAGGAATGTCAGTGAGGGTTCTAGATTCCCAGGTCTTGGGTTCTTCTAGAACTCATTCTGGGAGCTGGTGGTCTTAAATTTTCCCAGCTTGGGGGAAAGAGAGGACAGCCTGCCTACCAGGGTACCAATGATGGTGTCTTCCTCCTCGCAGCCACTCATACTTCCTAATCCAGGATAAAAGTATCTGACTTCTGCACAGCAGTATCCACTGAAAATGGGTCACCAATGCCCCCAAGAAAAGTTACCAAAATCCAATGCAAATTTACTTGTAAAAGTCAATTCTTAGTTTTCAATGAAAGCCATTCAGCAAGTTTAGTAGGAGCAATAAAAGTGAAAAGTCCTCTCCTTGGAATGTTTTGGCTAAAGCTTCTAGCTTGCTCTGTGTGTGTGTGTGTGTGGTGTGTGTGGTGTGTGTGTGTGTGTGTGTGTGTGTGTGTGTGTGTGTGTACATCAGTAAATGTACGAGAGAGAGAGAGAGAGAGAGAGAGAAGGCTATTCATTTCTGTCTTGTTTTTAATGGTTAGGAAGTTTGCTTGGTTGTCGGAAATGACAATAACCCCACATAACCTATTGACTTTTGACTCCACCCAAGTTCTTGGCATCTTTTCAAAATGGCCTGGTGAGTGTTTCAGACATCCGCAGTGCAATGCCAAGTAACTGTTTTGTCTGTAGATGTGGAACAGAGATTAGGAAATTGATTATTGTCTGCCTGTTAATGTGTTCCTCTAAAAGGACAAAATCCACACCTCCTCCAAACAACCTGTCAGAAATGGAAATGTACAGTATTCCCCCACCCTTACAAGTATTATCTTTATTGAATGTTTATGGGTCTTGTGAGATTCTTTGGCTGTTTCTTCAGAGCAGAAGCTGATTTGTCCTGCTGTTTCATGCTAAGGAACATTTGATGGCATTGCTAGAAAAATTAAGCCTACTTCTCAGCAATGTGGCAAACTTCATCTGGATTAGGTGCTCACATTACTGAATGTTCCACTATACAAAGCAAAGAACAGCAGCAGCAGCAAGCCTCTTAGTGGAGACTTAGCATGTCATTTGATGTATAATGGCTGCTACCCAGTTTAATGAAAACTGCATGAAATTGTCCATTCCATGTGCAGTTCCTCTTGCATCTGCTTGCAGAAGAATCCAAGAACCTCTTGGGGCACGCATAAATCGCTTTTGCTTAAATGGGGTGATCTCAAGTTTACAAAGCTACAAAATGAGCTTTCAGTTACTCTTGAAAAAGGAACTTTTTGCCTATGGACATTGTCTTTCAAGACCGATCCTTCAGTCATTCGTGACACATGGGACTAACCTTTACTATACTGGATTACCTATGGACTTATGGGATTTTTCCCTAAGGACTATGCATGG